GAAAAATGGTGGCACCCCGGCAGCAGAGCAGGGTGGATGGCGACAGAGGCCTGCTGCAGGACGGAGAGGGCTGGACGCCACCAAGACTCCACGAATGAGAGGCTGCAGCGCACACGATCTGCTACCGGCCGCTAAGTTCGGAGCAGCTACGAGGCCACAGCCACTGAGAGAGCTTGTGTCGAGGGCTCCGGGGTGAAGGCGTCCAGGGCGTCTTCGGCTCGCGAGGTGCTGCACAGCTGCAGGCGGCCAGCGCTGGCTGCTGCTGATAGCGTCAGGGCCAGCATGGGCAACGTGAGCGCCCGGGCGAATGACCGCACGCAAATGGTCACGGAGCCGACCGAGGCGATCAAGGTGCCGTCGCGAAGACGCATCGAAGCTGTGTAGAAGGGCGCCAGGACAGCCTGGCATGGCCGCGCTGAGGTTTGCCAGTGGGAGCAGGCAGCGACAAGCCGCCCGCTGTGAAGCCTCTGCCAAGGCCAGCCCTGGACGAGTACGTAAGGTTAAAGAAACGGTCGCTCATTGACAGGACGACAGGCCAACCCCGCAGCCGACACTGATCTGCCGCAAGGCGCAAGGCATAAGACGCAACGGATTGGGATGCGTGATGCAATTTGCGCACCTCTGCACGCGAAGGGCACGTCTGACGGCGCGGATATTGCGATGACATCGAGGACTGAGGACACGGCGGGCCCAGGCGTGGATGATGCAGAGCTGCACGCAATGGCCGGGGTACCTGGCAGTACCGGACGACTGCCAGCACTGCGCAGCTGTCGTTGCTGCTGTCGCCTGCTCCGCATGCCTCTTGGCAGAACCGTTCTTGTGGGACCCGCTGTGATAACAGCCATGCGGGCCTGATGAGCGCGCGATATGACCATGGCCATCCGACTGCCACCCCCACGGCGACTGCGACTGCACCCAGTCCGTCGCACTCCCCAAACACCTCATGAGCTCATGAGGTCGCCCTCCGCCCTCCGCCCTCCCTCATCGCACCTCCCAGCAGCCTCACCCGTCCGGACTAGGCAGTCCATGATGCCGTGGCTGCGGCCGCCGCACAGGTGCCGAACTCCAGCTAGTCCAGCCGTCACCCACCTTATTCGTGTGCGTGCCATCCGTCGTCGAATGGCGTCTTCACCGATTCACACACGCTAGCCTCATCATACCATTGTGCACGTGAGCGCCAAGTCAGACATGCATCGGAGACATGCGCTACTTTGGTATGCTGGCTGCGCTCCACCACTCAACGATTTGTCTCAGGTAACAAGCAGCTTCAACTTCCCGTCAGCAGATGGCTTTTGTGTTGCTAGACAAGGTTTCATTCTCAGACAGGTCGCTAGCCGTCCGTACCTGGGGAAGCAGTTCACCGTCCATGCGCCTGCGCAAATGTGCACACGCGGGGTAGTATGGGGATACGAGCCAGACCTCGTTTGCCCACTTGGTACGTCTCTCACGAATTCGTCGTGTCAGTCTGCCCTCCTTTGTCCGCAGAAGACCCGCGTATGGTCTCCTGATTCCAGGCCTTGCTATCGCACCGAACAGGACGGAGAGCCTCACGGATGCCGGCAAGAGGCTTAGCTTCTGCCAGGCTAGACAAAATGATAGGACAGTTGCGGCTTCTCACATTCACTCTCAAGCTCCGGGCAATGTCCGACAATCATCCCACTATGATGCATCAAACGTTCAATGCCTGAGGGTCGGAGTTTGTCCGACACGTACGAGTAGAGCAGCTACGCCATGCTGTGGGACATGTCTCGAAGCGAGCGGGCCATGGCTACTCTTTAAAATCCTCATCTCCGCCCTAGCCAATTCTTCCGGCGCCAGGTAGAGTTGTACAAGATCTCCAGGGCTCGCTTCCGGGACCCTCAAATCTACGATGCCCGGCCCGACAGCAGACGTTTCAAAGACTCTGGCCAGGCCGAGGCAGTCTGTATGGAGAAATGCTTCCGTGTTTACATCTTGAAGATCGTCATTTCGCCGGCACTTGGTAGGGAACGACAGAAACGAAGGCGCCCGCAAGCGCTGGATCTTGAACAACCGGCGGCTGCGGTTGGAACAGCGACTAGGGCTCCTCGGACCTCTATTTATGGTCTCCACTTGAACCCTGCGCTAGCAACCAGCACCGTCGATAGGACCCGCTGGGTCTTGGGTATTAGCGTCGATATCGTCTGAACGCATCCGGCTCTTGCACACGCGGACACTGCGCTTTCAAGCGACGCAGAAGAGCGGTCTGATGGTTGCGGTTCGACACAATACTGCGTGCAGATCCGCTAGATACACGTCTAGCACGTGAATTGACTATTGGCTGTGGTGGAGAGCGCTTGACAGAGTTTCGGCTCACTAGCTGGAAGCGCCTTAGCTTGCACAGGTAATTTCGACTTCCCACGACGCCATGGAGCTCTCGTGGAGACGAACCTGTGGCCGTCGATGGCGCAATCCAAGTGCACAATCGGAAGTGGGGAGCGAAGGGAGAACTTCCCGAGTATCCCGCCTGCTTGAGAGTTGGTCTTTGAGAGATGTTGATGTCAGAGACGGATATCTGGAAGCTTCGTGGTGCAGCGGATGCAGTTAGAGCGTGCCAAGATTTCAGTGAAGGCAGATGTTGTACAGTAAATCCATGTTGCTAGGAGTTGAATGCAGTCTGACATGCCAAGTACTACGACTCGCTTCACGATGCATGAGATGCAATGCTCCACGTTCACGATGCTCGCGTGTGAAATGTCGAAGCTTCTTCCTGGGCAAGGCTGGTGCTCCAAGCTCGGCTCAGCGGTCCATGCATAACCTGATCCCCGCAAACATCAACCCCACAAACCGTCTGACAGCTATGCACGTCATGTCCTACCTCTGAATGCAACGCCGAGTCGCCTACTACATCCAAGCAGACTATCGCCATGACGTCCAAGTTCTTCTGCCTCCGTTCAGCGCGTCTCGCTGCGCGTTACCCGTGCCCGCGACGAACATTTGCTTCAGCCGCCTCTAGCCGCGCAGACCACGTTCGCATTGTGGAAGTTGGGCCACGCGATGGGTTGCAGAATGAGAAGCAGACGACACCGCTGGCGACCAAGATAGAGCTGATTGAGAGGCTGGCCAAGACTGGTCTGACTACCATTGAGGCAGGCTCCTTCGTCTCGCCCAAATGGGTACCACAGGTGAGCCACAGCTGCTGAAGCTGAGGACATGCGCTGACCACCAAGCCAGATGGCCAATTCGGCTGAGATCCTCGAACACGTCCTCTCTCGAACGCCCCAATCACCGCATCCGATCACGTACCAATGGCTCCTCCCGAACGTCAAGGGCTTCGACAACTTCCTCTCCATGTGGCAGTCCAAGTCGCAGCCAGGCCAGGACGCATACCCAACACCTCCACCATCCCCAGGCACGGACAACGGACCAGCTCTAAACACCTCCTCCTCAGATCCCAACGCCATGCCCTCCGCCTCCTCCGGCGCTGAAGCCATGAACGCGAGCCGCGACGCCCAAGCCCCCATCCACGAACTCTCCATCTTCACCGCCGCGACCGAATCCTTCACACAAAAGAACACAAACTGCTCCATCGCCGAGTCGCTACAACGTTTCGAGCCCATCATGTCAAAAGCAAAGGAAATGGACCTCAAAGTGCGGGCCTACATTTCCGTCGCCCTCGGCTGTCCTTATGAAGGCCCGGATGTCGACCCACACAAGGTAGCAGAACTAGCAGTAAGCTTACTGGAGATGGGTGCAGACGAGATCTCAGTCGCAGACACCACGGGCATGGGCACCGCACCGAAGACCCTCGAGCTACTCAAGACGTTGAACGCCGCTGGTGTGAACAAGGATGACCTAGCACTCCACTTCCACGACACATATGGACAGGCGCTCGTCAACTCCGTCGTTGCTCTCGAACACGGTATTCGTACGTTTGATGCGGCGGTGGGTGGGCTGGGTGGTTGTCCATTCAGTCCTGGTGCGACGGGGAATGTTGCGACGGAGGACTTGGTGCATTGCTTCCACAGTTTGGGTGCGAAGACGGGGGTTGATCTCGAGGGGCTGGCAGAGGTGGGCGAGTGGATTTCGAAGGACTTGGGCAGGGGCAATGATAGTAGGGCGGGTAAGGCGACGTTATCGAGGTTGAGAAAGGCGAGGGCGTAAGGAAGTTGGAAGGGGGGTGTTTGTGTTCAAGTCGGACTCCTGACTGAGGATGCTTGATCATCTTGACGCAGACTCACGATAGTGGGCCTGCACAGTCATTGCGAGTGGGCTTCTTTAAAGTCTCTGGCGCTTCGGAGAAGCCCCCTCGCAATGACTGTGTAGTCTCACTATCGTGAGTCTGCGTCTGCTTTCTGCCTTTCCGTTCGAAGCGGAGAACAGTCTCAAAGTGTCAAGACCAAGTTAATGGATCAACGTTTCAAATTGACAGCCTGCAGATTTGAATGTTGAGGATAAATCATGCTAGATTAGATTTAGTAGTAGTTGCTGCTGTATGGACTTGTCCGAGATAGCGATGGTATCGAGATGTGGCCACCTAGGATTCTAATGCTAGTGCCAGACCGTACAATACGCTCCTCGGTCGCTCCTTCCTCATACATGCCGCGCTGCTGATGTTACAATTCGGACAGTAGGGCTGTGAAGATGAAGATGAGTCGGTTCCCACTAAACAAAAGTTCGTACGGGATATTTGCAATTCACAGGTACAGAAGACTGGGGCCTATTTTCTTGACTCTAGTGCGCCGTGTTGCGAGAAATCTAGTGGTCGTCAAACGCTCCTTCCTCACTTGCACTGCGCTAGTGATGAGGCAACTCCCCAGGGCTATTTATTCGCGCCCACACTTGCCCACATCACCCTTCGCTCATAGATCCTGCTTGACAACTCCACTACGACCACGCCTACTCGCCATCACTATCATAAGCTTGATACCTTTTGAGGCTACTCTACCTCTGACCTCTCTCGCTGGTACGTACAGTTCTAAGCTCATGTAGGTGTCGCACCTTCCTCTGCTTCTCATACTAACTGAATGATAGCAGTAGTCATGGCGGCCAACCTTCCCAGCCTACCGATAGAGCTCCTTCTCAATATCGTTGCCTGTGCGGAGACTCGCTCCAGCAGTCGCAAGCTATGCGAAGCGCTTCGTCTTACATGCAAAGAGCTCGATAGGAAGATTGTGCGGTATTTTGGTAACACCCACTACAAGCGAATCAAACTATCGTTCAGCGAGACAGGACTCAACCGGTTGCTGCGCATCTCAAAGGGACCACTAGCGCACCATGTCGAGTCTTTGACGATCCAATGTGGTACCGTCCATCCATTCCGGGACGTATGCATACAGAAGGACCCAAATTCACTATTAGACGAGAACATCAACAGCTGGCTAAAGGATGGTAACTGTGCAGAAATTCTCGCGTCTGCTTTGTCTAAGCTACCGAATCTTGTTGGGTTTCACATCAGGGAGACTGGCTACACTTTCAGGGTCCGAGAACGGAAGCAACTCGAGCTACTGTGGGATTATTGGGCTACAACATTGAGAACGCTGCTGGCAACAACAATTCCTACCATCCGGTCTCTCGAGGAGTTATTCATATGCGCCAACAGCACTATCATGGCAGCTGATCCCTCTCACCTGGGAGACATCATCACATTCACGGATCAACTTGGAAAGCTTCGAATGCTTCAAATAGACATGGTACTCGGCAATGGCAAAGGTATGTCCAAGATTGGAGCTCATATAGCCGCTCAACCCTGATTGGTCACAGATAATGATGCTGAAGATATTCGCAATCTTTGCAGCCTGATCCGAGCCGCCGCAAGATTGGATGACCTACACATCGGATTTGGAGGTACAAGTCACTGCGACAAAGTCTTCGAATCCATCAATCAGTCCTTGAATCTGCCCGCGCTGCGTCGGCTATCCTTGTCCAATTTGAAAACGACACAGACTCAGCTCGAAGACTGTTTACGCTCCATCAAAGATACTTTGAGGATTTTGTGCTTGGAGGAGGTATGGACCCGTAAGGCCACCTGGCCTGTCGGAATCGTACGATTTATTAGGAAAGAATTAAATCTGGAAGAGGTCACCATACGACAACTCGATATCGGCTACTTAGGCCTCCACCTCAGCAGGTTCCACCAACTTCGTCCGAGTATCGTGGAAAAGGACTATCGCTATCATCCAGAACTGCATGATGACGGGTGGGCATATGTTGATTGGGAAGACGATGGTTGTGACGAGGTTACCCTCAAGTATGAAGATGGTGATGACATCAAGTACTGGCTCAGAATGATTGAAGAAGACTACAGGTTGAAGACATCTTGGGGTTTTGACGGTGGAAGATGGATGATTAAGGATACTACTGATACTGCTCAGTGTTGAACTACATGGTTACTCTAGCTTTTCTCAGTCATGAATCAGTCCAAACTGCCGGCAAACGATAGGATTCAAGCATATGGCTCAAATGCCAGGTTGTCAAACGATAAGCGCACCTTCCATGAAAAAGCGCCCCACGAGCTTCAACTTTTGTAGTTTCTTGTAAAGCTTGTCCTTTCCGTTGTTGTTCACAGCGAGGAACGCATAATGGAGTTTCTCGAACTAAAGTCGACGATTATCACTCACATTTTGTTGCGCACACACGCACTATCAAGTCTCGATAGTTGACCCGTTTCTAAGACCATCTTCACCTAAGGGGTAGCTAGGATCTGCGCCGCAGTTTGTTGCACACATCATGCCCAACCTCATATCTGGACTTGCATTTATCGCCAGCCAGTGGAGCTCAGTACCACAAAACGAGCACGCGAGATAAAGCCATTCCTCCTTGTCCATATATACGGCTTATATAGTTAACAAGTACCTCGGATTACGTATGATATGGGTCGCAGAAGATATGTGTGACTCGTTAAGGTGTCATGGCCGCACCATGGGATGAAGTGGATAGTAACCATGGTACAGTTTTGTCATCACAGCCACATGGTGCCAGTGTGATTCAGAACCAAGTATATATTCTGTTGGTCCTAGAACCGATTAAATTATCTTCGATCATCCCACACACTATACACTTCACCTCAATCGCACACGAAAACACGTACGAGCAACCTGAGCCGTAAGCTATTTTCACACCCCTCTTAGACTCTTCCAAGAATAATTGCGGCCCATCATACCAGCGCTTGCGCAGTGCCAGCAGTCACGATGCCATCTTCCCAAGACATACCCATCGAAAACCTCACTCTTGAGCACAAGGCGCCACGTCTCGTCCTCGACGGCCTCCTAGACCGCATGTCACCAATTTGCGCTCTCATAGATCCAGCACCCCTGAACCGTGTCTTGGGATCTCTTGGTATTTTCCCCACAGAAATCCTCCTCCAAATCATCGAAGATCTTACCATCAGAGACACGATGCGTTTCCGACGCTGCTCCCGCTTCGCCATGCACCTCGTAGACACCGAATCGCCGCTACGGTGCGCGTTGAAATGGGCGCCAAATACCGTGAAAGGAATGATAGCGATACGAAATACGGCGCATATCACACCGAAGATGTTGTTTCGCACGCTCCGACAGCGACGCTGCTCGTTCAAAAGGAGTGGGAAGAAGCGTTGTGGGAGGTTAGCAGAAATAGTCTACCTACCTACATGCACCCGCCTCTGTCTTTCCTGTCTAGAGATAGGCCACAGGCGGCCCGCGAGTAAAGAATCGGTAGTCCGCCACGTTGGCGACATAGGCCATGAGAATCTGAGCACTTTGCCCCATTTCCGGGCTTTACCTGTCACGTTGACGAATGGGGTAAACAGATTCTGGATCCAGGCAGAGGAGAAAATGTACGATTGGGAATACGTCGATGGGGTGTGTCCCCATCGGGCAGAACTTCGCGGTGATCGATACAGCACATATTGGATCAATCGTCGCATCTTCCTTGGCGAAATGAAGGCACAGCAACGGTTTAGCTACCTAGGTCACCTTACAGATGTGGATGTCGTACCGAAGATGACAGTCATGGGTATGTGCTCTGTCTGGGCTCCGTCGATTGACCCAGTGCCATTAGCAGCGGAGAAGGAGTTCTACTGCTTGTGTTGCTTAGGCACGGCGATAAGGCGAGAAGTCTTTACTAGAGAGGAGTTCTTGGTTCATCTTAGGGATGTGTGCCGTGTCAGGCCGAAAGGTATTTGGTATCGGAACGATCTTCCTGAGCTGGTTCTTGCAAGCGATTGATCGCAGTCTGATTATCTTCTATACCTACATAGTAATCTAGGTTGAATCAATTTCGAGAAAGTAAGAGCATCTACCTTTGAGCCCTTTACGGAACATGCTAGGCCTACTACAGAGGCCTGTCATTTGAACCTTTTTGACTTTGCTAGGCAGAGGTACACATACACATCGTCTTGAGAACTGTCTGGAAATGCAAATTAACAGCTTACCCAAAAGCGGAAGGCCTGACTCATTCTAGCATTCCCGACATGCAGAGCACTGTCTCTTTATGAAGGGCCGCGAATCTTGTATGAGGCCAGCGAAAGAGAAAGAAGTTATGTTGAAGATGCGCGGCGCTGCTCAGGCGAGCGAGGGACGGGTACGCTTTCGGGGTATAAGAAAATATGTATCAAGGTCCTCCATTGTCAGACTGATGTTGTCGTGTGAGATCAGCGACGTGTAGTTAGCAGAGAAACTTAGTATGAGGCAGGGACATGTTCCGGCCCATGCGTGCTTGAACGCAGGTGAAATATTAAGCCTGGTATCAATAACGGGGACGTTCATAATATTTCCAAGCACCAATTTCATTGCATACCGTTGCGACTCTTGCAACCACTCCACCCAGTCCATCTCGCCCTGATGTCTTCGAAGACAGCGCTCGATCGTCATCACAGCCACGGCGCCGCCGACGATCATCGGTAGCAGCCACGACGTCACGCACTGCCACCAATGCCTGATCGCCGGCTAAGGTAATTTCGTGGGGAAGGTAGCGTGCGGCTGCGGAGGGTCCTCCGCATCATAGCAGATAGGGGAAAAGCAACTGCCGCAGCCAAAACGATCACGATCAGGCTGAGTTCAGGTTTTGCTAGTTTGGTTACACAGCACCGCGAGCATTAGACACTTAACGGCGCTGCGTACCACTACCGGATCAGACGGAACCGAGATCAACGAACCACGACGGCTTATGCGAACGCGAAAGAAAAAGAAAAGAAGAGCGTGCGTGATGCGGGAACGCTGGGCGTGTGGGCGATGGAACGATGGAACACATTTGTGTTTCTTTCATGTGATGGTTGAAACATTGGAATATCGAAACTTGAAATGGACATGACTTCGATGAGGGTCTGGAACGCGTGCAGGGAGTTACCCGCCCATGTGCATTGTGCCTTTCAGACTGTGGCTTGCCTCGCATCCAGTCGCAGCCACGTCGACGAATTCATCCAAAGGAACCCTGGAAAACCACCAACACCTCATCTGCCAAGTTTGCGCTTGAGATCATCTTGCTTGAGGCAGCATCATGGCAAGCTCCAGATTTGAGTTTCTTTCGTCGGCGAAACCGTCGGTCGGGGCGCAGTCCAGGACGCTGTTTGGTCGATTCAGGGCACAAGTTTGATGAGATGCGTCGGTGAAAAAAAATGACGTGTGGTCGATGGCAGAGTAAAAGCAGGGTTCAAAAAGCGGGCTAGTAGCTAGCGTAGCTGACGCACGGGGCGGGATCGACAGCGAACTTTGACGGAACAAGGCAGGCACGACGACGCCAATGCTGCATCATGGAAAGCGAGTTGCAAGGCTGCGTCATCGCCCAGGGCAGTATCGAAACGGACAGAGACACATAAATCCTTTTCGCTCCCCCTGTGGCTGGCGGGTATTCACAGTCTAACATCACAACAACATACACCCCGAGCATCGCCCTTCTCGTCACCTCTCCGATCCTAGTACCTCTCTCATCTACCTCGAGTCTTAATTGCGACAATGGGTTTCGGCGGTGCTGCTTTGAAGCTGGGCTCTACAGCGCTGTATGCGCTCGAGTTCTGCTGTGCTGCGATCATCCTCGGTATCTACAGTTACTTCCTGTCTGTAGAGGCGGACCGCGATGTCAACATTCCCGTCTGGCAACAGGCTGTTACCGGTCTCGCTGGTGCGACTGTGCTGTACACCATCTTCGCAGTCCTATTGACATGCTTCCTTGGCGGAAAGGTAAGACAGCCCCTTGACGATATAAATTACAACACACACTAATGCCATCACCAGAAAATCTTTGCCTTCCTCGGCATACTCCTCGACATCCTCTGCTGCGGTGCCATGATCGCCGTCGCCGTCCTGACCCGCGATGGCGCATCCAGCTGCTCCGGCCGCGTTGAGACACCGCTCGGTGACGGCCCCGCCAACTCCAAGGAAGGCTTCGGTTCCAACGGCCGCGGCGACCAGATCACCTACTCCGCATCCCTCGGCACGATCTGCAAGCTCAACACCGCCTGCTTCGCCGTCGCCATCATCGGCGCCTTCCTCTTCCTGCTCAGCGCCCTCGTCCAGGTCTTCCTCATGAAGCACCACAAGAAGGAGAAGGCATTCGGTCCCGGCCCCAGCAACGGCTACACCAAGGGCTCCGGCATGAAGTTCTGGCAGCGCCGCAAGGCTAACCGCACCACTGGACACCGCGACCCTGAAGTCGGTACTGTCCCTGCTACTACCGCTGGTGGCCTCGCCGTCCCTGCTGGCACCCACGACTACCGCCCCAGCCACGACACCGCTTACACTGGCTCCACCGTCGCTGCTCCCCACACTGGTTTCGCGACTGACAAACCCGTGACCGGTGGCTACCACACTGCTCCTCACGTTGCCCCTACGGCCAACTACGCCAACAACGGTAACACCGCTACCTACGGCTCAGCCACCAACTACTAAACCATTACCCCATATTCTCATGAGAAGATGAGATTGGCGATGCTCTAGATTGAGTAAGGTCAGTGCTTATGAGCATGACCACTTTTCCTTACTACTTGTACTCTATTACGACGTTTACGCATTATACCACACACATGGAGAGGAGAGAGAGGAATTGGATACTCGAGACGAGATGAGATCAGAAGAGATTGTATGATGAAGTGGATACGATACGAAACCTAATACCTAATGTCAATATCAAAGAAGAATATATATGATCTAAAACATTGATGTACCTCGTCAATGCTGCCGGTATCGTGTCCTTGTTACACGTCCTTATTGTCAACGAAATGGTTGAGCACGGCCAGCGATAAAGTACATAACTAGCCATCCGGACATCTAATTACACAACGCTGTCCGTTTTTCCGGCATTCACACATGTGAAAAACCTCGTCACGTCCCCGCAAACCAGCGGTGAATGTGGATAACACGCACGATCGACATGTAGTCGCCGAGAGTATTGAATAGACCACTAG